CGCCGGGAAGATGGCGGCGGCGGCCGTTAGGCCACGGTAGCGACCGTTACTTTCAAACCGTCCTTCCCCTCGCGCCGCCCTTCGAGAAGCACCGGGTTCTGCCACGTCGGGAACAGCACAAGGACTACTGCGCTTAGCTAGTTTTATTTTCCATTAATATAGTCCCTGCTGCCTGAGAGATCTGCAAACAGAAACGTTTTAAGAACACAGAACTTTTAAAAATTTATGCTCGAGGTGTAAGATCTGTATTAGTTAGAACATCCTGCGACTTTGATTACCGTGTACAGAAAAAAAAAATAACTGAGCAGGGGCAAAAAGGCATAGAAATAAATAGCTAAAAGAGCCTGGTACAAAACTCTCTGGGAATATTTATTACATGTAATATTTTAAAGTCTTAGTCTAAGGAGGGAATGCAGTGAGCTGTTCCCGCTTCCATGACCAACGTGATCCATGTAACTGCTGCTCCTGCTTTTCGGTTAGATCTGTTTACGACGCACTTGACACCGCCAGCTTTTTCAGGTGGTCCATGAATACCTGGAGGCTGACATCGTCCGTTAGGATCGGAGCTCCCGATTCCTGCAGGAAAACGAAGAAATAGCCCCAAATAGCACTGTTAACAATGGGGTGCTGCTTAAAGCAAACTAGGTGTCAGCCTCCTGAGGTGAGCACTTGGTAAAACCACCACATTTACTTTTCCGTAAAGGACAGGTCTAGTGGAAAAATGCCAGTTTTTGACATAGCTCCTGAAAATACCCTTCTGTGCAATCTGCAGATCTGGGGAAAAAAAAAACTCTTCTTTCTAAAGTAGTGGGATCTTTCTCTGTCCAGAGCACTACGCAAACAAGATCAAGGAAGAGGATTTAAAAGTCTTGTATTCTCAGATAAACTATATCTGCATGTACTTCTAGTAGTTGATGGGTTTTTTTTTCCCCACAATACTTCATAAATTAATTTTGACCTAAAAGTTTTAGGCAAGATATGTAGGAAATGGTGAAGATCATCAATTTCTAAATGAGGTCATCTAAAACTCCCCAGAGGTCCCTTATAACCCAGGTATTCTGTGGTTTTCAAAGGCAGCCAAAGGGGAGGATCACCAGGACACATGCATCACTCTCAGCCTAAAACCATGGGATGAAACAGAAGGGCTAAAAATACGGACAAATATGTACGGTGTGCGTTTTCCAGCATTCCCAGTCATGAGCTTCCCTTGCTTACCTGTCCCCATGCGTAGAGGTTGTTGTGGGTCTGAGAAGGGTTCACTTTAGACAAGAGGAACCGGGCCTATTAAAACAAAACATTATAGAGAGGTAAGACATTAAAGACATCTGTATCCCTCTTCACCACACAGTTCCTTGTGTGGTGTGTGCAGCTTCATAGCCCTCCAACACCCTCCTTCCCCACTGCCTTTGTTAACCTGCTGCACAGATAATTTTAGAGCAAGAACCTGCTTGCTTTAACTTGGCAGTGTGTTCTGTGAGGGTGAAAGAAAGGGGATGTTATGGCCCAGCTGTGACTCCCAAAGGGCAGAGAAAACTGCTGCTAAAATGCCTTCTAATTTTACAAATTGCTTTGAGATATTCTGGAACCTTGTAATAAGGTTGGGAAGAATCCTTGGGAGAGGGAAAAGGGGGAAAACGACTCAAACACTTCAGGCATCTTCCCATCCTCTCAGAATGGGTGCAGAAGTTTGTGCAGGATGTGTTTCCTGCCCTGCTGGATTTTGGAGGTAGTTTACCACCAGTGGCAGCAGTAGGGACACCTCCATTTGCACAGCACACGTAACCTCTTGCAGGTCTCCCACAGTGGCAAGGACGGCTCTGCCACAGCAAGAAGTGCTTGCCTGGCAGGGCAGGTTTGGTGCCCCATGACATGGACATGTCACCAGCGCTGTCCCTCCCATGTCCTCAGCTGTTCTTGGATACAGAGTTCTGTGGAGAACCAGCATAATGTGGCCACACCAGAAATTAAGTATTTTGGAGCACAAATTCTCACCTCTTTGCTGCACAGAGAAGCCCTAAACAACTGTAATTCCAGGAAGGACGAAATAGGAACTATTTTATATCCTTCCACGGTATCCAAGAATAAAGGGACAGATGCTCAATCATTAAGAACTTAGAAAACTTACTGTACTTTTTACATCTCAGATAAGCTTTGATACTTAGCCAAATCATTTTTTTCTCACCCCTAGTAGTAATATATTCAAAAGACATTTAATCTAGCTGTATTTTTTAGCAAATTTCTATTTCAAAAGCATGTGCAATGAGCTACTGGCTTATTAAAAGACATACATTTGCAATAAAAGCTCATGAGGGTTATTAGTGTATGAGGGTTATTAGTGTATGTAATGTACAGAACCATCCTTTTAGTAAAGCAGAACAGAGAGGCTTTCACGCTATTGAGCAGCACTGAGAGCTCTTGGATAAAGCTCCTTACCTGGCTGCCCCCGTGTTCAGTGTTGACGTAACGTGGCATCGGGAATCTGGTCTGCAAGATTTCCTGAGCGTCATCCAGCGGGGCTTGCAGTAGGTGCTTGAAGTTCTCATACTCGGGCATGTCTTGGTAACCAGCTTTCTGCCACTGTGCAATAGTCTAATCGACAGGAAAGAGGAAATAAGAGCTAGTAGGTACCCTCTCTACAAGCCTCTCCCTTTTAACTTGCACATCTTTAAGTCAGCAGAGCATTACATGGACAAATACATGCTTTTACTATTCTGCCAACAGACTGAAATCCATTTTTGCATTGTTTCTGAATCTATATTAAAAAAGGCACACAGAAGTTGGTATCCGTTTCTGCACTGCAAGATCAGTTTGTTGAAAATCAATTTGTGTTGATTTTCACTGTGTTTCACGCTGTACCAACACAGAAACAAGGAGCATTTATAAAGCACGGATACAGTGATTTTGACTTGATCTTAAACGGTAAGAGAAAGAGAACACATTTCACTGTACCTCACCCAGGTAGATAACTATCTGGAAGAAAGTATCCATCAGAAGGATCCTGTCTGGAAGAATGCTGCTGCTGTCCAAAAGCACTGGCTGGAGAAAATAAACAAGAAAAAAACAGTCAGTCATCCCTGCTAATTGCTCCAAGTATGATCCCAGCAGCTTCTGCATCTCTTTCCTGCCAAGCGCTCTCCTTCCAAGGAGGCTGCTGGTACAAGGTGATCTGTATCTGACCCTCAACTACTCACATGTAGTTTAATCCTCCTGCATGAACAGTTGAGAACAAGTAGCTGGTGGGAGTCAGGGCCCCAAGGGGCTGAGGTTTGCTGATTTATGTGGTGCAGATGGCAGTCTCTGACACAGCAGCACAGCAACATTGATGACTGTAGGACTCATGGCTTTTTTTTTTTTTTAAATCAAAGCTGTAAGTTTACTGAAATCACAAACTATATTTCACACTACCACATCTCCCACCTCATCCTTCAATGATTACTCTGATTAAGATTTATAAAATTAGAACCTTTTTGAAGAAGCAGTTTTTCTTTGACCGAATACTCATTATTTCGGATCATTCTGCCACTGCTGGCTAAAGAGAGACCCACCTCAGGAGGTCCATAGAAAGAGTAAGCATAAAGGATGGGCTGGATCATGATGAGAGACTGGGTCAGATCTTGCCTAGCAAAGTGGTGACGGTAATAAGAAGATTCATCTGGGCTGTTATTGAAGACCTGCAGGAATGGGGAGCGTCGCAAGTGGAACATGAACTGCACCAGAGAGATGAGAGAGGAGAGAAGTATCAGTAAATTGCTGAAACTTTTTCACCAAATGTTTCTGAACAAATTCTTCTAAAAAATCTCAGGAACTCCTCCAACATCTTACCTTACCCATCATTTGCAATGCTGACCTACAGAACCAGCTCGCCAAATTTAAAAAGAATCTGTTCTTCCCCTCATCATTCTGATAAATGCAACGGGAGGCTTTATTATCACTCCTGTCCTTGCACACTTTCCCTGTGTCTACAAAAAGTGAAGTTCTTACCTGAGGATACAAAGAAAATGATTCCGACAATCTGAAGGAGTTAGGATCATCTTTGTTGTACTGTCCAAATTTCTGACACTGTTGGAGACAACATGGATGTTCTTGGTGAGCTTCTTTTTAGAATTAAAACAGGTGATTTGTATCAGGTGACTTTGGTGTCTTACTGGAATAAAAATGACTGGATCTCGTCATCTTACTTAATATATAAAATCTTTACTCAAAATTATCTAAGAATGAAAGAAATAGGGCTACTACTACTGTTTCTTTTTTTCACTAAATCAGGAATACTATGTTATACCTAATACTTACATACCTATACCTCTGCAAATTGTGGAACACTTCTGCAGTAACTGCATCCTTCTAGAGCAGCAGCAGACTGGATTTTCAGCAGCTGCTTCACTGAAAATAAGCAGCTTCCAAGCTTTAGCTATAAATGACTCCATAGTCATTTCAGTGTGCAACATAATGTGGGTGTTGGTACTTGTATCTCTATTGCACGCTGCCCCTGCATTTTTTTTTCCAGTGTCTGATGTATTTTAACTGCTAGTATCAACTCCACATGATTAACATCCCCCTCCATTCCTGGAAAAGTGAGGGAACAACTCATCCTGGATGTCATCTCCAAACATGTAGAGGAAAAGGCAGTGATCAGGGATAGTCAGCATGGATTCACCAAGGGGAAATCATGCTTACCCAATCCGATAGGCTTCTCTGATGGGATGACTGGCTGAGCAGGTGAGGTGAGAGCAGTGATGTTGTCTGCCCTGATTTCAGCAAGGCTTTTGACACCGTCTCCCATGACCTGCTCCTAGGCAAGCTCAGGGAGCGTGAGTTTGGTGAGTGCATGGTGAGGTGGACTGAGAACTGGCTGAACGGCAGAGCTCAGAGCGGGGTGATCGGCAGCTCAGAGTGAGGCCCCATCAGCAGTGCTGTGTCCAGTGCTGGGCTCCCCAGTACAAGAGGGACATGGAGCCATGGAGAGAGGCCAGCACAGGGCTACAAAGATGATTGGGGAACTGGAGCACCTCTCCTATGAGGAGAGGCTGAGAGCTGGGCCTGTTTAGTCTGGAGAAGACTGAGAGGGGATCTTATCACGATGCACAGATAGGAAGGGGTCCAGGGAGGGTGTCAAGAGCATGAGGCCAGACCATTTTCAGTGGTGGCCCGTGACAGGACAAGAGGCAACGGGCACAAACTGAAGCACAGGAAGGTCCATCTGAATATGAGGAAAAAGTTCTTGACTGCAAGGGTCACAGAGCACCTGCTTCACTCTGTGATTCTGTGTTTCACTGTCGCTTCTTTAATCTCAGGTTTAACCTTTTCAACCTGATGGGATGCTTACCTACCCCATCCCAAACACACTGATCATCCTGGCTTCTGAGTCAACACATACTACAACGATGGGGCCCTGATCAGAGCCCAAATGAAGTGAATCACTTGGGGGAAAAAAAATGACCATTTTATTTCCAGAGACCGTTTTTACTAAAATCAAGAACGCATTCCCTCGACTGCCATCCCCCAGCCTTACCAGTCTGATGAGCTGTCTGTCCAGCCACCGCAGCACGTCGGGCCCCTCCTCGGATTCGGCTCTGTACACTCCCAACCGCGCCATCAGCACGGCGGCTGCCTCCTGGTCGAACGCAGCTTCTATGTGCTGGAGCTGGCTCTGTGCATCTGCCCAACTAAAGAGCACGTCAGAGGTGAGCGCTGTGTGCAGTCCTCTCCAGCAACACCCACGCCAGGTTCATCCCCCAGGTGCCACATACTGTAACTCGTACACATAACAAAAGGCTCTAGAAAATCTGACACAGACAGGCAAGAGTTTCTGCCAAAGAACTGATGTGAAATACTCACTTTCTGGCTATGGTGGTGACTCGAATGCGTTTCTGCATACTGGAGTGTTGGTACTGAGTGACAAACTGAACCGCCCCTCTGCCTCCCTGAGGTATCGGTGCGTTGTGCTGCAAACGAAATGAGGCAAGCCTTCAAAACAGGGTAGCTTTTCCGTGGCTCTGTAAACCACAGACACATTCCAGGGCATCATCTGAGCACTCAGGGCGTAAGTACAAGATCAGAGAAGAAAGAGGTGCCTTCTAATATTGTGCTTTTCAGCAGCCCTAAAGGTCAAGTGGTGCTGGGGCATTTAATGGTGCACCTGACACGTCATCAGCTGGTCCCTTAAAGGACAGCAGCAAACTTATCTTTACAGCAAATATTTTGTTTTATAAAAATTAACAGAGAGAGAGGAGAGAGAGGAGAGCGAGGAGAGCGAGAAGAGCGAGGAGAGCGAGGAGAAGAGCCAGAACTAACCTGATTTACCACTTCAAAGTAAATGGCCAGCGTTGTGCTTGGATCCAGGCTACAAATTTTCCATTGTGACGTTCCTCCAATTCCAAGCTCCTGCACAGAATTGTACAGAAAATGCATTTTTGCCGGTAGCAGTGGGTAATGCAAGTTTATGTTAAATTCAGAACAGAGGTACAAGGCATGGAAGACCTTCTGTATTCCTATCTTCTGGATATGCTGGATTGTTACTGAGGTGACATACAGTTAAAAGAGGCTTTACAGGGCAAGGATTTCATCTAGATGAGACTGTCTTTTCTTAGGGATGTTTCCATGTTGCTGCTCTCTAAAAACCTCACATTCCAGCTGAGCTGCAGGTCTAGATACAACTTTGCACTGTTTATTTACTTATTTAATAACAGTTATTCCATGTTCCTTTATAAACTTACATTTTCAGAGACACATGGCCCTTTAGCATTCAGGGATATGCATGGTCCAATAGCTCCCGCAATCTTCAGCTCCCTAGAAGTCTAGAAAAGGGTCAAAAAGATTTTTAAAAAATCATATTAATCAAACAGAACACACAGAGAATAAACCAGCTGCTCAACTTTGATAAGAATGTGCATACATGTGGCTGTCAGGTAAAGGGGCTCCGAGTACTTTGCCGAGTCACTCATTGCTACAGATGCTGAAGGTAAGAGAATCAACAGTCGCATAGTAATAACGACAACATATCCATAGTCACCACTACTGTGCATGAAATGTTCCTTGCAGGATGAGGAGATGCAGAGCTCTTTTTTTTTCTTTCTTTTTTTTTAAAAAAAGAACCACAAATTTATTAAACTTTCAAACAAAAATGGCTCCACTCCATTCAGTCTGTAGCTTCTTCTAAAGTATGCACTAAAGCTCAGCTCTCAAGTGTAGCATTTTCTACAACCAAAACAATTCAACTCGCCATTTAACAGCACTTGCATTTCTCAATTAATGCCATCCAATGAGATGAATCTCTCACCTTCACTTCCAAACTGGCACCAAAAGCCATGCGAAACTCCCCATTGAACCCTTTGTTAAACACTCGCTGGAACGTCTGCTTGAAGAGAGAAGTGTTGAAGGAGTCTCCCATCACCATGTGACCTCTAGGAAGGAAAAACAGATACCCGGGGGACTGAGACAGCCAAGAACTGGAAATAAAGCACAAAGGATACTCCCCTCCAATTCCTACGCATGCAAACACAGGCAGAAAGTGCTTTTAGACATGTCTTTGTTTATGTGGAGTCTGCATTCGGCAACACAGATTCACAATCGCCTCTAAAGCCAGACAGGTTAATGCTCCATCATTACCAGTTTGTTTTCTCAACTGCATTTCTTGGCAGCCCTTTAGTAGCCTTCAAAAGGATCACGTTCCACTGCTTCCAAACTTCTTTACAAACCCTTGCATTTGTCCAAACCACACTTTGGCTCTCTGACTGAATAGCTTGAGTCCCTAATAGGCACTGTTTCGCACACAGCCCTTTTTGCAGAGATTACAGGATTTCCATCAGTATGCAGCAAGGATACCTGCTGCGTACAGGTGTCACGTAAAACGGAGGAACAACAAGCGAGCTGTTAAGCAAAGAAAATCCATCTTGACCCCAACAAAGAAAGTTTCTAAGAGCCATGCCTGAAGCTCTTCTGATGGCACTTTGGTCATGCACACACCACAAACCAGGGCTTCTGTAGCCCTTCTCCTCTGGGAAGGACACTTGCTACCTCTCAAAAAGGCAGAAAGCATTTGCAAAAGATGAGTTGCAGCATGCTTTTGAATACCTTTCTCAAAGCAGAACATCAAGTTTTTTTTTACCAGCAGTGTTAAGTCACATGCTGTTTTGAGACTTCAGAAATGTGGACTGGAATCAGGGTAGGTTTGTCATATACTTCCTGGCAAATTCAAACCACAGTTTAGAACAAAATGACCAAACAAACAACAACAAAAAAAAACACCCTTTTGCCCCAGATGAACCCTCCTCTGAAGGAGACGGCTGGGTTTGTGCTCTCCTGCTGCAGACCTACCCGGTGAGGTTGGCACAACACTTCATCTCCAGCAGGCCAGTCTGGTCCAGGGCGCAGGCGTAGATGTCGATGCAGTGCCCGTTGGCTGCCGTGCGATTAGCCAAAGTCTCGTAGTGCTGGGGAGAACAGACAACACACACACGGGGTAAACTTAGGATACACTGATAGACAAGCTGTCGTGCTGGGGAGAACAGACAACACACACAGGATAAATTTAGGATACACTGATGGGCAAGGTGTTTTCTGCTCTCCAAATGGGGCCAGCCTATGATATGCAAGTCACAAATGAAGCAGTTGCCAGTGCTGCAAGAGGCAATGCTCTCTCCTTCGCTCCGTTTTGCCCCCTTGCACTGTTTTGCATTTGCATGAGCTTGAGTTGTAAGTCACAAATGCAGAGAGGACATGAATTGCTACCCTGAGCCAAGCATGGGCTCTCTGCCTGTGATCTCTTAAGGGGATCACTTAAGAGGTTTCCAGTTAATAGGACACACGTCCTACTGCTTTCTCGGTCAGGCATATTTAATGCCTGCCATTTTAATTATTTTAATTATTCTGCCTTATGTCAAGAAGACTACTGGGAAGTCACCAGTTCTTGACAGATAGGCAATTTTCACCCACCGTCAGATAGACACTAAGAAACAGCACCAAATTATCTCACTCTCTCAGAACACACAGGACTCCCGGAGAAGTAACTAGCAGCTCTTTTATCCTTTTCCTGGGGCCTACTGTCACACCTTAACACAGAGAAGGGTTTTGGCTCTTCATGGACACCCACGTCTGTCTGGATACACATTTACATATCAGGAGAGCAGGACATACTTGTTCCCTGGAGGAGGCCTGGGCAGCTGTTTACCCAGCCGCATACGTAGGTTTGTGTCACTTCTCCCTCCATTTAGTGTTCTGAATTCCACAATGTTCACTTTGCCTTCACTGTGTCAAGCCCACATGGAAACCCAGTTGCTGAGCATGGCCTTTGCCCACAGCAGACATGAGCACCTACTTTGGTGGCCTTCTTCATGAACCTTGCATTGTCCTTCTCTATGTCGTGCCAGGAACGGATGGGTGTTTTCAGTTCATCTCCTACCACCATGCCAGGTCCTTGTGTTGGTGGCCCGCCTGTAAACAACATTATCCTGGCGCCAGTGTTTGGAAAGGTGCCCTAAAATAAGAACGAAGCCTCGTATTAAAGATATATAGAGAGAGATAGATAGAAAATTTCATTAAAGAACAGCAATGCTTTTCTTTAGAGAAGAGCCCGACGTGCCCTTCTGCACAACAGAGCTAACAGTACCTCCAGCAAGCCAACAGCAATGGAAAGAGCCACCCCAGTGGACCGTAAAGGCCTCTTTCCCTTTTTTTTCCCTGGGTCACTGGCCATGGGTCCCTCTGCAGTTCTCCAAGCAGATCTGTTAAATTCATGTCAATCTTGTGTACTGGCTGCAGAAACCTGCCAAAATGCACAAGGAATGTTTTACTGTTTTCAAGCCTCTTTAGTTCAGGGAAGAAAGAAGGTGCCTGTTTGTTCCTGGCCCACACAGATTGCACAGGCAGCATTATCAGAAGGAGAGAGTCATGTGGCCTGCTCCCATCTCATATCCCAATTTTCTAAGATAAGAGACCTGCAAAACACAAACAATTTGAACAAAGCCAGACATCAGGAATAAACAAGGCAGCTAAGTCACAATAAAATAGAGAAGGAAAAAAAAAAAAGACTTCAGTGGCGATTTAGTTTACCAAAACATGCAAGAGCTGCCACAGCAAAAGAAGGGCTGAGAAAGAACTGTATTCAACAAAGACAAATGGGGCTTTACTATTTGGGGATGCCAGCCATATTTTGGACATGACTAGGCAGAGGATAGAGGGCGATACCTACAACTGTTATACATAGACCAAGACCCCATCAGCTGGACAGTCAAAAAGACAGACCCTTGCTCCGAACACACACAGCCTTGAAGAACTGCACTTTCCAAAGACTGCTGCTCTACAGCTTTTCAAGTAAAAAACCTACTCTGAACAGCAACTCTGTTCTTGCAACTGCAAAAACAGGATACTACAGAAGTCTAATATGTTTCCTGCTACTCTAGTAAAATCCATCCACACATACCTTCTTTTTATTGTAGGGCAATAATTTCGGCAAGTTTTTTTTTTTTTAACAAAACTCTTTTTAAGAAACCTAGGTTTAGAAGTGTGGGGCAAACCGGGCACACAGCACCTGGGCTGCCCTTCTGCTGTGCTAGTGCAACCAACAGACTCACCTGCTTGAAATAACAGGTTGTTCCTGAGGTTGAAGAGGTCTTCCCTGTTGAATGGGGACAGCTGGCCTTGAAAGCCCAAGCATATCCTATAGAATAGCAAAGAAGAGAAGCAGCACTGAAATCCTAAACACGTTATTTGCTGTCAAGGAATACACACTGAGGCCCCCAGTGTGGCAGAATTGAATTTGTTAAAATCTGTGAAATTATTAAGCTTTGCATTTCCCCTGGTAATGGATCGATGGGTCCATGTGTGAGGATTAGCCCAACTGCACCTTGGGGAAGCTTTCAGGGAGTTTATAAAAAGCACAACAGAGGTTGGGAGCAAAACAGGGTAGCAAACAATCAAGAGCACTGAACCCTTCCTCCCTGCAAGCCCAGAGCTTGAAAGACCAGCGGTGGCATCGCTGGAGCTACGAGGCACAAGCCACGGGCCTAACAGGTGGCAGGACATACCTGTATTTGCTTAGCTGTGAGGTCCTTTGTGCCCCTAAACACGTAGCTCTTGGAGATCCCTTCGCAGCTCAGCTCGTGCACCTGGACCATCCTGCCGAAGGTGATGAGCCCCACGAGCGCGTCGGCAGGCAGCAGGCTCAGGGACATCTGCAGAGACTCCTTCAGAGCCTGCAAGTCCTCCTCCTCCAGGCACGTGTCCACCACGTACAGGAAGATCAGTGGTGTCTGGGCACCTCGCTAACATGGGATGAGACAGTTACCAGGCATGGGTGTATGTAAGTGACACTTATTATGTTCTCTGGGTGAAGAATAAAATGAGGCTTGTCTTAAGCCCCCTATGGAAATCATATTTGCACTGTCTTAAGCGAAAGAAGAACCTGCCACAGCTGCCACAAATAAGATATTTTGGGGAACATCAAACTTGCCCGTGTTTCACCTACCTGCACTATATATTCAATTGTTGAAAACTGAGGCATGAGTTCTGCTGGCTGATTGAGCTCTGATATGCCTGCATATGCTGGGGGGAACTGAAAAAGAGAACCAGAAATGAGGACAAGGAAGTTGCAGGGCAGAAATGTAGGGCTCTGCTCTACACTGCCCTGCTTATGCTCTTTATTTACCAGCACTGCACCCACTTGATTAATGCACAACACGAGTGCAGTGCTGCTGCTTCCCTAAGAACAGACAACAGCGGCCAGCAGGATGGGCAGCCACTCACTTTGCTAGAGCTAAAAGGCACAGCTAAAGCAGAGGCTACATGTTGGCTGAAAATTGTTTGGCCATATGGCATTTTTTGATGGCAAACATCTAGTACAATCTAATGAAATTCATATTTGGCAAGAACAGGAAACAATATGCAAGGAATGTGCTGGAAACACGTGAAACAAAATAGCTTTGCATCTCTTTTCTGTGCCCTGCACGCTGGCAAAAAAAAATAAAGCGGGGGGGCAAAAGTGAACTAAATAGACAAGATATCAGGCAAAATGGCTTAAGTAACAAGTAATTCTGGCCTGGATGAGCAGGAGCAGAAATCTAGAAAGGTGAGATTTCTGCTTCTTTTAACATCCTTTTCTGGGGGAGGCCATAAATATTATGCTCACTGAAGAGAAAACAGGCTGGATACGGAGGAGAAAGGGCTGAAACTTTTTTCAACCTACCTGATTTCTCTGAAAACAGAAATTACAAGCCCAGAGCTTGGCCCGATAGTCAACCTGGCTGCAAGAAGGGAAGAGGAAGTATTTTAGAACAACTACAGCAACAACATCACAGCCCAGCTTCTCAGATCCCTCTGCTGCTTCGCAGCACGGATGAAGAAACAAAGTATGAGAAACTTTTAAATGACAGAGTTCCAGGGTTCCAGCCTCTCAGTCCAATGTCAGAAAGGCCCCTTTGCTCATCCAGCCCAGCCATTTCCCAGCTCGTCAGCCCAGTGGACAAGACATGCCTCTAATCGTCCCTCCTTCAAGGTCGGGCTTATCTCAGCAGTCTTATTATTTGTACAGCTGTGGCACACAAGAAGTGCAGTCACAGAGCAAGAGCCATTCACCCAGATCCTGTTCAAGCCCAGAACAAACAGGCTGTTCCTGCCCCACAGAGTTTACTTTCCTCAGCCCACTGGAACATGTTATATCTGCTAGTTAAGAGGCGCATGCGTGTTCGTGTTTCTCAGGCTTGAACCCTTCTCACTTTCTGTTCCTCTTACTGGCAGGAGCACCCTTCCCTGCTATTTCTCAGGCCGCAGTGTGCTCTGGGTGTGTATCATCATCATATGGTTTTGGATCAGAGATTATTCCTCTTTAATCCTCAGCAGAATGGCAGAGAAAATGTCAGTGCTTATGCTGGAATTGACCTGTGAGCAGTGGGATCTGTAGGAAGCAGGAAACCAACATCACAGCCCTGAGGACAGTAGCTGTATGACCAGTATCTTGGTTTAGTTTAGTTTAATGGCTCGGCACAGAATTCCCTGGGGTGGTTATGGGACTGGCCATTTCCACGTTAACTGATTTAAAAGTCTCCCTGAAGGTTTCCTTTTCTCCTCTGCTTCTGGCAGCTCTAGTCTAGGCTGGCATTCAACACACCCCACTAAGCACACACGGAGCTTAATGCCACTGTGCTTAAGCAAAAGAGGCTGACAGGCACTGGGCTGAGTAGAAAGGGGAAAAAGAAAGTAGTGAAGAGTGGATAAAACACCAGTTATCTTCCATTTCTTAACACTCCGAGCTGAACAGTTCGTACCAGAGCGGGTTGAGCACCGCCTTGCAAGTCAGTCTGCTGCAAAGCACCGGTTCGTACTGCACAGGAGGCAGGTCGAGACGCTCCTTCAGCGGGGTCAGCAGACAGGCCAGGGGGACAACCATCCTTGTGGCCTCCAGCCTGCTGGAGGGCCACACGTTCCAGCTGAAACGCACCCCATCCCGCTCCTCGTTCTGTTGGATGAACTCCAGGTACGTCGCCATGGGAAGCTCTGAAAGGAAGGGCAACATGAGACACCAGATGTTGCACGACACGGCTAATGTGTTGTAACGAGTTAATCTCATTATCAAATGACCCATATGACTTCATTAACCCTTTCCATCCAGCGCTCTGATCAACATCCCGGACAAGCAATTAAAACCCAACCTGATCCAACACAGAAGCATGAAAATCTGATGCTCAAAGCCAGAATACAAGTTGTTTTATAATCGTGCAGATACCACATTTAACATCGCAATGCCCACACAACCTCAGGCCTCAAGACGCTCCAGCCTGAAGGGGACCAGCAAAATAAAACCGGGCGAATTTGCAACATATCCTGCAGCCTTTGGCAAAGCCCTTGGGGAGGAGCCGTGGAGGCCAAGTCTGGGAGCAAAACACACGCTGCAGATGCCACCAGGCAACAGGTCTGCACTCCCTGCAGAGGGAAGGCCCCCCAGGGACTGCAGATGCCCCCGCACACGGCATAAAGGGGACCCCTCGGTGCCCCGGCCCCCTGTGCCACCACGGACCCCCAGCGCTGCCCTAAGGGGGCACTGACAAACCCACAGCCATGGGGGACCCTGCGACCCCAGCACAACCGTAGGGGACGATGCTGACCCCACAGAGCCACAGGGGACACTGTGACCCCCAGGACACCCATAGGGGATGATGCTGACCCCACACAGCCATAGGGGAAGCTGCACCCCCAGCAGATCCATAGGGGACCCCAGCAGATCCACAGGGGAACACCACTGACCCCACACATCCATACGGGACCCCGTCATCCTCCATCAGATACATAGGGGGACCCCGCCATCCTCCAGTAGATCCATAGGGGTCCCGCCGCCCCCAGACATCCATAGGGGACCCCGCCATCCTCCAGCAGATCCATAGGGGGACCCCACCATCCC